GAAGCTCAGACTCGGTTTCTAGCTGGGCATGGTGGCCTGTAATCCCAGCAGGGGATAGTTGCGAGTCTGAGACCAGCCTGGGCTACAAGGTGAGCTCAAGGCCAGCCTGAACTGCATAGTGAGACCCTGTCTAAAAAAAAAAAAAAAAAAAAATCAAGAGAAAAAAGATGTGATCTTGGCTCCTTCTGCCATAAACCCTGAAAGTGGCTGCCCCAGACATGGCAGCAGAACAGGACGGAGGTGTCCGTGACTGTACTGGTGGCCTGGGTGAGCTGGCTCAGCGTGGCTACTGCAAAGACAGCCTCGCCTCTGCCTAGCGTCCTATGGCCAGGCGCTGCTTACAATGCCCCTCTTTGTCGCCCTCCCTCTCCTTCTCTCCTCCTGCTCATTCAAAAGGAATAAGCCAGGTCGGTGCCATGGCCACACAGCTACTGAGTAGCAAAGCTGAGATTCTGACCCAGGGGTCTCACAGGTGACGCGCTTCCACACTGAACCAGGGGTCCACACCTTAGAACCACCCGGGCATCATTACAGATCAAAGCCTGGGTCCCACCCTCAGAACCTCTGCACACTACGGCCACATGTGCGGAGCCTTCAGAGCTTCCTGGGTGTTGGGGGTGCCCAGCCAGCGCTGAGGTCTCCCGCACCCCAGGCCTGTTGTTTTTCTGGTTGTTACGCTTTTGATCTCATTACCGATTTGTTGGGTTAATCGACTTTTTCTTTTCTACTTTATCCCCTCTTCAACAAATGACTTCTAAAACTTTCTGCCACGTGGACCTTCAGTTCTTCCTTCCCTTTCCACGTGGAGAATGAGGACTTGGTGTAGGCATTCTTGCTTATGAAAAGAGCAAGATAATGGGAAGGAAAGATCCGGTCTCCCTACATCAGACCCTCCCTGGCCTGAACCCACCCTCGCTTCACACAGTCTCAGCGGCTGCTGGGCTCTGATCTGCCGGATGGAGGAGTAACCAGCAGCAAGCAAGCAAGGTCGGGGTGGCTGGATATTCAGGGCCCATTTTTGAGTCTCACCCGCCAGTGCCAAACCAATCGCAAACCTTGAGAAGTTCAGAGAAAATCCACTAGAGGGCACTGCAGCACCACCCTGAAAAGACCAACCCGCGACAGCTTTTTCCCATGCAATTAAGGAAGAACAACCGTGCTACCCTACTGAGCATCGTCAAGCACGAGCCCTGGGCTCGATGCTGAGGTGCAGAGGTCAGGGCACAGGTGCTGTTCATTTGAGCTGGAGGTGGGCTCAGAGCCTCCCAGGCCGGTGAGGAGGCTGTGCCAGGTCAGTCTGTAACCTTTCCCTGCTTCTGGAGCTGTAATTATAGGACGCCCACAGACAACACGCACAACACATGTATACACCACTCCCTCCACACACAAACATGCACACGTCATGTGAACAACGTGCACACTCGCCACACAAGCCACATCCACACGCCCAAGCGTCCTGGACGTGTAGCGCATGCGGGGAGCCGGCTGTGGCAGACCCCAGGCTGCAGAGGAGGTGGGTCGGAGCCCAGCGGGGGTGAGTTTACTACTGGAGAGAACAACCCCTGCAGCCCCCAGACAATCCGCACATCATTAGCATCACCGTAAAAGAGCCCTGTTAAAATGCACATGTCAACCACATGTCACCCCACGATTATGAGCGCTCATTGAGACCCACTAACACGTTAGCACAGATTCAGTGGAGCACTGAGGTCGGGACCCTTTGCCAGAGGCTCACGGGGAGAATGACAGCAGCATTTAAGGAGTATGGATAGGGGCTGGGGATCTAGCTCAGCGGCACAGCGCCTGCCTGGCAAGTGCAGGGTCGAGAGTTCGATTCCCGGTACCAGAGAAAAACAAAACAAAAAACAACAAAAAAAGGGAGTGTGGATAATGTGCAGACACCATGCCCGGGCTGCAGCGTGGTCTCCCCGAGGGCTCCCAGCATATTCTCCCCATTTTCAGAGGAGGACCCCCAGGCTCACAGAATAACAGTGATTTTCTCAGGATCGTATAGGTAGTAGGCAAAGGAGCCGGAAGTCTGACCACCCTGAAGGAACTCAGTCAGTTCGGGAGAGCTGTAAAGATTGAAAACTACATGAGGGGGTCTAGCAAAAAAGCAACTTCATTTTCTTTCTTTATAGAACTTAGCAGGTCCGTGCTGCATTCACAAGCGCTTCACCTGAGAAGGAAGGAAGGGGAACCTCCACTCAGGCTGGCCTCCCTGATGTTTCCAAGCATCCTTGTGACATCTGGCGATGCGAGCAACCCTGTCCCCTGAGCCTGTGACCCAAAAGACATCAGGGCACTACAGGTGTCCGTGCTGGGGAGGGTGCCTGTGGAGTTGGTGGCCAGCTCATCCTGGGACTGCCCCTCCACAAGGTCATGCCATCGACAGCAGAGAACTATGTACTAACAACAAAGTAAAATTATATTCAGCTTAAAACTTCTATGGGGGCAGGGCTGGGGATTTAGCTCAGTGGCACAGCGCCTGCCTGGTAAGCACAAGGTCATGAGTTCGATTCCTGGTACCTGAGAAAAACAAAATAAGACTTCTATGGGGGCGTGAGATGGCCATGCAGCCAGGAGGGGCCATCGGAAGCTGGGTCTCATCAGAACTACCCAGCTGCAAGGGTAAGCAGGGCTGGCAAAAACGCACAGCCAAGGGGAGGGCACATTCAGGACTGAACAGCAATGACCGGAAGTCACAGGCAGGCGGCACAACCCCCAAGCCAGGGTCATCCCAGTGCCAGATGGGTTCCTGTCTGGCAAGCTGAAGGAGGAAGATAGCCAGAGCTCCTGAGCTCGGCATACAGATGGGTCAGCTCCATGTGCCTGTGCCAGTGGAAAGTGACAGCAGCCTGCTGTAGCCTCCCTCAAGGATGGCCGAGAAGAACCTGGTAGAAAATCCCTCCAAAATCGATGGAGTTTCACATGATGCATCCAGTTATCCCTTTTGTGTGGAAAGAGAAGAGTCCTGAAGTTAAAATGTATACAATTTGGACGGGGCATGGTGGCGCATGCCTGTAATCCAAGCACTTGGGAGGCCGAGGCAGGAGGACTGCCATGAGTTCGAGGCCAGCTTGGGCCACGTAGTGAGTTCAAGGCCAGCCTGAACTACCCAGCAAAACACTATCTCATAAAAGAAAAAAAAAAATTGTATACAACTTATGAGCAGTAGCTGGGGTATTTGTGAGTTGACTAAAGGGTGAAGATCTTCATGTCACGTGTTAACGCAGCCGGGTGCCTCTCCTATGATATCCATGCTACCCAGGTAAGCACAAAGGGGCACTGCCTACAGAAGAGGCACTGAACAGCCAAGGAGACCGAGTGACCTGGGCAGCTGACATTGGCCAGCCTTTGCATTGGACATCCCCCATGCCAGCATGACTGCACTGCCGCCACAGTGCAGGGATGGAGACTACTATGGCCCCAGCAGCTCCACTGCCCTTACCAGCCTCAGGCCAGGCCTATCCAGGTAATTCCTCTCCTGAAGGGCCAGTCTGCCGGGGGTGAAGTGAGACCAGGGAGCATTGTAAGAGTCACCACCAGGAGATGCTGGCTGAGCAGGTACTACCCGTGGTGGCACCTGTGGAGAGATGGGCCTGGTTTGTCTTGTCTCTACCTCACCTGTATGTCTTTCTTGTCAGAGATGGAGAAGTTCGCTGAGCAGGGCAGCCTGTTGAACTCTCCTGTAGGCTCCCAGCGCCCCAGCCAGGGCTGCCCGGGGCGCTGATGCCCAGTGGGCTGGCCCGGCTGCACACCCCACCGTCCTGCACCTCCCTCAGTGAAATGGAGAGAGAGGCCGAGGTGGCTGGAGCTGACACCTTCTGCACCACCCCTACGGCACAGTCACTTAAACCTGCTTTTCTGGGGAGCTCTTCAGGCTGCCACAGTGCAGAGGGACGCCAGAGGCCATGAGGCCCCAAAGGAAGGGCCTTATCCTAAAGCCAAACTCTCACGCACTGCCCTCAGCTCTCTGAGGCGCCCTGGGAACACTAGACATAGCACCTTCACCCACCTTGGGCCCCAAAGTGGGAGCTCAGCCTCCCTGGCAGCAGAGCCTGAAGGACAGTCACCAGGAGACCACCCTTGCGACGCACCCTATTCCAAATGAGGAGGACGGGTACTGTGCCCCTGGGGAGGGTTGGGCGCTGGGCAGAAAGTGCCCATTTAAACAGGAGGAACCTGTTGGAACTCAGCACCGGCCCAGCTGGAGTCACCGCAACACTCCTTCCAGAGAGGCCCAAGGTTTCTCTGGTTGTGACAAAGTGAGGCCCCTGGGGACGGCTGGGAGGGCTTTGACATAGAGAAGGAGCCAGTGCCAGGGAGGGAAACAGCAACAGACTTCCGGTCTTCCTCTTGTCTCAAAAGGTGCTCAAATCACTCACTCGCTCACTCACTCACTCCGTCAGTCAAAGTGCCCCCTCCAGCCTCAGCTTTCAAGAAAAGCAGGTTTCCACACTAGTGAACATTTCTCTCTTTTACCCTGAGAAACTAAAAGGATGCTAGAATTTTGGAATCACCCACTGAGTGGGATCCCTACCCTACTCCCAACCCCACCAAGCAAAGAAGCTAGAGGCTATAAAGGAGGCTCGAGGCATTTCCAGGGCTGTTTTCCTGGGTGTGGTTTTTCTACCGTTACAAGTAAGGCATCCTCGTGTAGCTTCACAAGATGGACCCCAGGGGTTTGCCGCAAAGACTGAAATAAGAGGGCGGCTTAGAGTGCGGAGCCCAATGCTTGCTGCACAGCAAGTACCGAGGCAAAGTTAGCAATGACTTTGGCAGATTGCTGCAAAAGCTGAGGTCCAATTTGTCAGCTTGCAGTTCGGTCCCTTCCTGTATCTTGGCTTTAATGGCTGCTAATTGTTCGCAAGCTACATTTTCACTTACTGAAGCATTTATCACAGGCTCTTTTTGAGAACTAGCTCGCCTCCTAAGTAAAAAATGTGATTCAGTTTATAAAATGTCTATTTTTGTCCAGCTGTTTTTAGCACTATCTGTCTCCATCAGCTAAAGAATTGGACCAGATAAACTGTGAGTTCCTCTCCCAATTAAAAAAAATTCTGCTTCTGTGTTACATAAGATGAGGAACTTGTATCTATCTACCCAAGTATCTTCAGGGCCCAAACGCCAACAAAAACAGATTAATATTTAATAGAGAATAATTTACAAACCGAGCAAGCTGAACCCAAACATCCAGTGATGAGTGTCTTGTCAATAATTAGGTCATTTGCATGCAGCACATAATTCAGAGAGGAAACAGATTCTTTTTAGCCGCATTTAGTAAACTTTAACAAATAACCCTCATGAGTCAATCCATAATAAGGGGCTGGGGTGGGGAGGGACTTTAAGATATTTAGCGATGCATAGCAGAGCCCCAATCAATATAGAATCTCAATCTCTGATGACATGAAAATAGCTAAATAAGATTTCACTCACCCCAACCTACATGACAACTTATATCAGATGTTAATAACATACAGGTGACCCTCTGGATCAGGGGTTCCAATATCTGTGGATTCAACCAGCCTTGGGTTGAAAATACTTGGGGAAAAATTTGTCTTGATACTGAACATGTACAGACATTTTTCTTATCTTGATTCCCTAAACAATACAATTATTTACAGAGCCCTTGTATCATATTAGTCTAGAGATGATTTCAAGTATACAAGAGGGGCTGACAGTATTTCTCTGGGATAAATATCTTGAAGAGGGATTGTTAGGTGTATTGGTTTCCTACTGAGGCTGCAACAAATCACTACAAACTTAGTGCCTTAAAATAACCCAAGGTTATTGTCTCAGAATTCTGGAGGTCTGAAGTCCAACACAGGTCTTTCTGTGCTAAAATAAGGTGCTGTCCTGAATGCATTCCTCTTGGGACAGCGTAGGGGTTCATCTGGTCTCTGCTGTGTTAGGTCGGGTTCTCCAGGGTGGTAGAACTAAAAGGATTAGATGTAAGAGAGGATTTACCAGGACGATTGGCTTAGGTGATCATGGTGGCCCAGGAGGCCAGTGACAGGCCATCTGTAGGCTGGAGACCCTGTTTTTCCAGTAGCGTTACTCGTTTTGAAGGTCTCAGAACCAGGGAAGCCAAGAGTGTAGCTCTCAGTCCAGGGCCTAAGGCCTGCGAACACGGGAAGAGGCGGGCTGGTGTAGATCCTGGAGTCCAAGAAGCCAGTGTACACCTCGGAGGCTGTGGTTCCTCTCCGGGAACAGAAGAGAAGCAGCATCCCAGCTGCAGAAGCCCCAGGGACACATTTGCCCTTTGTCTGATTTTTCTCTCTCTGGGCCCCCCAGCCAGTGGACTCACCCACTACTGTTCAGGAACATTCACAGACATACCCCAAAAGATGATCTCTTCCTGGGTTTCCAGGTACTCCCTAATCCAAGCAAAGTGACACCTAAAATTAACCTCCACACGAGCCGTTCCCAGCTTCCAGAAGCCCTGTGCTCTTCCAGAATTTTCAAAGCCAACAGCTGCGCCAGCAAACCCTGCTGAACGATACCACTCCGCACACACCCCCGCCGCCTCCCTTGCCTGCATTTCAAGATTTCTCTGAATCTTCAACTGAGTCCACCCGGGTAATCCAGACTTTCCCAGTCTCAAAGTGCATAATCTGAGCACATCTGCAAAGTCCCCTTTGTCACATGATGTAACAGGATCACAGATCTCAGGGATTCGGACATGGACATCTGCGGAGGGACATTCTTCTGCCTACTCTGCTGGATCATAAACTAGGCGTGTTTCTCTTTACCTGATGGACTACAGAATTTTTCTCTTCTAAAATGGTTGTATTATTTTACATAGGCACTCGCAGTAATACGCAAGAGCATTCCAGTTGCTCCATAACCCTCCCAACATTTAAAGTTATCAGTCTTTTAGGTTTGAACCATTCTAATAGGTAGAAGTGGTATCTTATTGAAATTCTAGGGCAGGGATGTAGCTCAGTGGCACAGTGCCTACCTGGCAAGTGCAAGACCCTGAGTTCAATTCCTGGTACCAAAAAAACAAAAACAAAAACAAAAAAACCTCAAAACAAAATAACAACAAGAACAACAACAGAAAAAACAAGATTCTAATTTGCCTTTGCTTGATTACTAAAAATGTTGTTGTACTTATTGGTCATTTGTGTAGCGTGTTGTATAAAGTTTCTCTTTTAAGTTTTTTACCTATTCTTGAGTTGTCTTTATACTACTGATTCATAAATAACATTTATATACAGACATTCCTCATTGAACAGCCTACTTACTTAATGACTGTTTGGACTTACAACCTGCCACATTGACTCTTGACCTGTTTGTTTGTTTTTGTAGAATTCTGTACATCTTGTTCATAGGGCCTCTGTGTCTTTTTTGTGTAGTATACCTTGTTTATACAATGTTGTAATTTTTGCTGACAGTACTGTACGGTACAGCACTATAGTTTTATGTTCTG